TTATAGCTTTCATATGAAAGCTATAACCCAACTATAGCCCAAGAAGAAGGAGAAAGAGGAGAGGGAAGGGAGGGGAAAGGAGAGGATCGGGAGAGTAATCAGTGGGAACACACCTACAGTGCATCTTACAAGCAGCCCTTACAAGCCTTACAAGCCCTTACAAGCATCTTACTCAGCCCTACTATGAAACCAATTTATAGCTTTCATATGAAAGCTATAACCCAACTATAGCCCAAGAAGAAGGAGAAAGAGGAGAGGGAAGGGAGGGGAAAGGAGAGGATCGGGAGAGGGAGAGTAATCAGTGGGAACACACCTACAGTGCATCTTACAAGGGTGCATGTTAAATTTACTAAGTGTAGAGTATAAATGTCTTAATACAATAATGAAAAAAAAAGAGGGTAGACTATAAAGAGAATTTTTTCCATATTATAAATAAACTAAATATTCAAGATAAAAACTTTAAACTAGTTAATCACAAAGTCTGATAATGCATGGGCTTTACATGTACTTCTCTGCACATATGAACAAAAAGAAAACCAACTGTACACACAGTGTCTCAGTATTAACCCCGCTATAAATCCAAAAACATCAGGCAAGAATTTCTATTTTGTTCATTGATACATTCAAAGTACCTAGGACAGTGCCTACCACATAGAAGGTACTCAATAAATGCCTGTTATAAGAATAAATACATAAATGAAAAAGAATAGAAGAATATTCATTGTAGCATTATTTCTACTGGTAAAACATCAGAAAAATCTATGTGTCATTCATAGGAAAACAGTTAAGTAAATTCATACTAGGGAATAATGTGCAGAAGTTAAGAAGGAAGGGTAATATATTTAGAAAACCTTCTATAATACACTGTTAAGAATGAAAAATAAGTTTCAGAAATTCATACATAGAAATGTGTATATCTATAGTATAGTAAAGTGCTTCTTATTTTAAAAAAGATCTAGAATGGTATATACCAAACTGATAGCAGTAGCTACCTTGAGGGCAGCAGTTCTCAAAGTGTTATTTGGGAGTCATGGATTCCCTGTAATCCTCTGGGGATCCATAAAGTAACAACTGTAATAATAACTAAGAGATTACTACAATAAAAATTCATAATAATAACTAAGATGTTGTTTGCCCTTTTTACCTCTTACTCTACAGTGAAATTTTTCACATGGTATAGCAACAGATTTGACAGACAAACACAAGAATCTAGCTATCTCATTATGGCATACATTAAGGAAATTTGTAAAAATGTAAAGCAATGCTATTATTCTCTCTCAATTTTGGTTTGGAAAATATAGTTCTTCATAAAAAATAAGTCATATATTTTGACAAGTACTAGGTCTATGTATTATTAGTTTTAAATGAATTCATAAATACTAAAACAAATACAATTTTAATTTCTAATATGGTTACTATTGATAGATGTAACAAAAGCCCTTTAAGGTCCTCAAACATTTTAAATGTATAGAGGGGTACTGAAACCAAAATTTTGAGAATTACTGCTGTTAGTAGAGAGCTAAGATTTTTGAGACTTTTACTTTATCTGTATAAATTTACAACAAAATACATTTATGTATTATTTATATAATTAAAGATAGACATATGTATTTCAAAATCTAGTGATTCCTCAACAATTGCCTACATTAACAATGCTAGTTTTCATTACAAAGCGCAGCACTCAACATGAAACGGTTTTCTGATTTTTAGCTGCTCACATGTCAGCAGTTTCCATTGACTCAGATCATTGAAAAAGTCAAGTCTAGAAAGAGCTGCGAAGCCTTGAGGGCCGACTTCAGTTCTCAGACTAGTCTTTCAGCCTGTTATTTCTTCCCTTCCCTTCCTTTTGAACATCATGGGCCCTACTGTTCTGGATCCCTTTGCTTTTTATTAAAACAAGAAAGGATATGATAGTCTATTTTTGGTTGGTTGATTTTATGAAACATCTTTACATAAAATCACTTCAAACAGTTATTTTACTTTTAAGGCTATCATCTCTAATTAAGCAATAAGCAGCTTTCTTCACTAAGAAATTCTGCTTTCCTCTAATTAGGTTTAGGGATATTTCTAGGCCTGAAGGGTTTGGGAATTCAGAGTAGGTCTACTCAACTGATCTCTGAAGAGAGCAACATCTTTAGAATGACTGTTACTAAAGGGAGTGGAAAAGGGCAATCAGTGTCTCTCCAGATGACTGCTTCTAGGGAGCCTAGTCCTGGGAAGTGCCAGGAGTAGAGGGGTGGAGAAAGAGGAAAGCAGGAGATTATAATTGCTGAGCATCTATGGTGCAGGCACTTCATACCATTTCTCTTATTTAATACCAACTGCCACATGAGGTAACACTTGCATTTTTTGTTTGTTTGTTTAGAGATGGGGTCTCACCCTTGCTCAGCCTGGTCTTGAACTCATGAGCTCAGGCAATCCACCCACATCGGTCTCACACTATAAATGCCCCTGTGTATTTCCTTTACTCTATCACCTGAAACATTCTAATTCCCATGTTATACCTAACTCTGGATTTGAAGATTCTGATGGAGCAGTATGTTGAGAAAATGGTCTCCTTGTTAATTATGTACATTTTTTATTCCAGCTACTTTTTCAGGTAACAAATACTAAAAATTTTACATTCCTACCTTGGGTCAATTAAGACATGTTTAACATGGTCAATACCAGCTTTTTCCTTAAAAAAGAAAATAAAGAGTCCCAAAACCTTTCCATCAAACCACGAACATGTACAGTTTTCTATCTTTACAATGAAAAGAAGCTGCTTCTAAAGTGAGTTAACAGGTTACTGACTCTCTTGATAGTTACCACAGTCAGTGTATTAAAGCCAGCTCTTCCAAGCAGATGTCCCAGGTCATTGATAGCAGTGAAAGGAGAAATGTGTGGAGAAAATCCTCCTTCCCTTTCTGTTTCTGCTAACTGTAAGGAGCACCGAAGTTCATAGAGTGTGTCGCCTCCAAACATGGCACCAATAAATACTCCATCTGGTTTTAAAACATAATGAATCTGCAAAAATATAAACAACAAAACTATTAAAAAATGGATAAAAATTTTAAAAAGAACACAGTGTCTAAATTAATATTTCTGACTACCATTCTTGTTTTATCAAATTAATAATCAGATAATTTAATAACACTTAATGCAATCTACTATCAGAAAGTCATTGCTACATAAAATAGTTATAAAGATTGAACTATATATTCACTAACATCATATTAATATCTATAAAAATATATTTTATGTTTTCAAATTGTCTAATAGACAAAAATAGTTTTGTTTTTTTTTTAAAGAAACAAGGTCTCACTCTGTTGCTGAGGCTGGAAGATAGCAGTGACATCATAGCTTATTGTAGCCTCCAACCCCCGGGGCTCAAGCAATTGTCTTCCCTCAGCCTCTCAAGTAGCTGGGACTATAGGTATGTGCCACCACGCCTGGATAATCTGTCTTTCTTTCTTTCCTTTTTTTTTTTTTTGTTAGGTTGCTCAGATTGGTCTTGAACTCCTGGCTTCAAGCGATCCTCCCACCTTGGCCACTGAAAGAAAAAAAATTAAGTGTGGTGGACTGCAAAAACCCCACAATCTTCTCTGTATCTGTAGCTTTCGAAATGTCATTTTCCAACTTCCAGTTGTTTCTATTTCCTCTCTCTTTTGGCCTTGTGATTTGCTGTGGCCAAAACAATGCAGTGAAAGTGACAGTGTGCCATTTTCCAGTCTAGGTCTCAAATGGTTTTGCATGCTTCCACCTGCTCTCTTGGAGCCCTGCCTGCCCCATGTTGTAAGCAAGCCTGAGCTGGCCTGGGTGGAGGATGAAAGATGAAGCCGTGACCAGCCAGCTGTGCCAGCTGAGGCCATACTACTCAGGCCTACATTCTACTCATCCCAGTCTAGCAACTGATTAGACACAGTGGTGAGCCAAGCCAGACCCAGAAGGCTTCCTAAGCAAATCTAGCCTAAACTGCCAACCCACGAAACCATGAACTAACTAAATAGTTACTGGTTTAAGCCACTAAAGTGGGGTGGCTTATTAGACAGAAAAAGCCAATCTATAAAGAAATCATGATTCATAGCCTTAACCTAACAACATATTAGTTTTCTTTAAGGAGATGTAATTTATGTTCCACCTTTAAACAAAAACAAGTTTTACTTGATAATTTAAGTAAATAGCAGCCAGAGTCAATTCTAGAATCAGAAATTTTGTTCACTTAAAACTCTTTGACTCAGCGTGGCCATTTTTAATTATTCTGTGCCGTTGCTCCGCTAGGTGAAATAAGGCCCTTCTTCTTTTAAATGTAGTTTTTAGGTGCTCTCTATCCATTGGACCTTGTCTTCATGCAACATTTCTAGTTCCTTAACTAGGAAGCAAGACCACTTGAGGAGAGAACAGGCTCAGACACACCGGTGGTTGCCACCAACCCTCTGGACACCCACAGGGGTCCTGATCAGCCTGGGTGACATGAACCACTGAGTGCGCCAGATATGCCAACTTTGCCTCCCTCTGTGAGTGCCTCGACTGGATGGAGAAAGGAACCCCTCAGCTGGTCTTCGAGGGGTCAAACAATGGGAGAAACTGGCATGCAGGAACTGGCACCTGTACTAGGAGACGTCTGAGGCAAGGTAGGACCAGTGGGGTCCACAATATTTGAGTGGAAGAGAGGTATGATCAATCCCTGGGGGTTAGATTGCTGGCAGGGCTGGTGAGAAGTGTATGAGAGAGTATGGATGTGCTATGACTGAGAACGGACATCGAGGGTGGGGTTCCAACTTCCCCTCACAGGGCCGAGGGGAATGCAGGGTCCCAACTTTGGTACCATATGGCTAAGCACCAGTTCAAGTGTAAAACAGAGGCTGCTCAGGTAATTCATGGCTCGGTGCCTATAGCTCAGCAGTTAGGGTACCAGCCATATACACTGGGGCTGGTGGGTTCGAACCTGGCCCCGGGCCTGCTAAACAATGACAACTATAATCAAAAAAATAGGCTCAATGCCTGTAGCTCAGTGGCTAGGGCGCCAGCCACATACACTGGAGCTGGTGGGTTCAAACCCAGCCTGGACCTACCAAACAACAATAACAACCAAAAAATAGCAGGCATTATGGCAGGTGCTTGTAATCCCAGCCACTTGGGAGGCTAAGGCAAGAGAATCGCTTAAGACCAAGAGTTGGAGGATGCCATGAGCTGTGATGCGATGGCACTCTACTGATGACAACATAGTGAGACCCTGTCTCAAAAAAAAAAAAAGAAAGACTCTGTGAAACATACAGACTGGACAAACCACTGTATGAAGCCACAAAGGGGGGAGAGAAAAGACCAATAGAGTAGAAATCTGACAAACCAAAAGCTTTCAAGAGGCTAAAAGAAAAACTGCCAGCAGCCTTCGTATTAGGCCTCCCTGAACTGGCCAAGCCTTTTGAACTATACATATCAGGAAAAAACAGAACAACTGAGGGAGTGCTCAACCAGAATGTAGGACCTGGGACAGGACCATTTGCTTATCTCTCAAAGCAACTTAATGGGGTCTCAAAAGGATGGCCCTGTGCCTAAGAACCCTTTTAGACACTCCCATGCTGGTGCAACAGGTTGAAAAGTTGACTTTGGGACAAAACTCAAGAGTCTGGGTACCATATGCAGTGGTCACTCTTATGAACGCCAAAGGGCACCACTGGTGACCAACTCATACCTTACCAAATATCAAAGTTTACTGTGTAAAAGTCCAAGATTGGTTATAAAGGTTGTATGCATGAGGCCACGCACTTAGGACAGAGGCAAAATAAAATCAAGAAGCTTCTGGAAAAATACTTCTACATTCCCCTCCTGGCTACCCTTGTCAAGAAAGTCAGCTAGCATTGTGTGACATGCGACCAAAACAAAGCTAAATAGGGACCATTCCTGCTGCCTGAAATTTAGTCCTATAGGGAAGCCCCTTTAGAAGATGTTTAAATGGACTAGACTTTGTTGTCCAGATGTGGAGGAAACTGGTACTTAATAGTTTTGTTCTGCACATACTCAGGATAGGTGGAAGCCTTCCCTACCAGGATAAAGAGGGTTCCTAAAGTAGTAAAAGTGTCGCCTGGAGAAATCATCCTATGGTTTAGGTTGCTACTCTGGATTGGATCAGACAATGGACTGGCCTTCATAACAGAGATAATGCAAATGACAGCCAAAGCCTTGAACATCATCTGGAAACTACATGTGGCAAACAGGCCTCAAAGCTTGGGCAGGGCAGAGCACATGAATAGAACCATAAAAGCAGGCATCAGTAAACTCTGCCAGGAAGCAAAGCTTAATTGGGTATAGGTCACCACTGGTCTTATTCAATATTAGATATACCCCTTCTGAGGGGTCAGGGTATTCCCCTTATGAGATAATGTATCATAGGCCTCCATCAATCCTCCAAAATTTACCAGGGACTTCTAAAAGAACTGGGAGAGACTGAATTGCACAGGCAATTAGAAGCCCTAGAAAGAGTGGCAAAAAAGAACTCCACGTGGGTAATTAATCGTGTTCTGTTTAGTCTTTTGCGTCTGTACACCCTTTGTCTCCACCCTTTCTTTTGGGATCAAGTCTAGGTCAAGGATCAGAACCTAGTTCCCCCAAACCAAGGTGAAAGGGACCCTACACCATCATCCTGACTATACCCACAGCAGTGAGGGCAGAAGGGATCCTCTCCTGGATCCATCACAGCATGCTGAAGAGAATGTCACTGCCTCTGTGGGAAGAAAAAATAGATCCAGCCAACCCCTGCACAGTAACTCTTGAGGTGGTCAACATGCCCTGCTCCAGTCACATACTGGGAGCTGGCTGGTCAATACACAGCTCAAGTCTGAGGAAATTCCCTGTCAGACTTGTCTTAATTGTACTTTAGACTTTAGAAAAGGGGGAGGAGGAATGTGATTTGTGCACTCACACCACTAAGATAAAACCTGACTCTTTTATAGCTTTTATGAATCCAAAGGCACTCAGAAGGCAGCCTGTACTCATAATCAGACACAATACTGAATATGTGACACAAAGAAAGGTGAAAACTCATATGTATATTATAACTCCATGAAGCCCCCCTACACACACACCATTGTACAATTATGGCCTGGGTAGAGAGCCCGAGAAGAGTCATAGTCCCTGAAATCTTAATGCTGGTCCAATTTAATGCCTACAGCACCATGCAAAGATGCTGCAGCAGAAGGAGCTGGGAAAGAAAGTATAGGACAGATCAGAAATACCTCTGTGCCTTAGATTTTGTAGAAAGGTGGTATGAAGTCAAATGTGAAAGCTGAAAATGTATGCTAGAAGGCACCTGAGACAGTGAGGACTGCAGCAAAAGAATTATCGTGCTAAAGAAAAAGGGTACTGGAGACAGACTGCTCCATAGGGTCAGTGTAACCCCTGGAGCTAGTCTTACAAATTAATAACCAAGTAAAAGTCATATGAAACACAATAAAGAAAAACCCAGACATTGGCCCATGTTCCGGTGCAGACCTCAAAAACCTGTGTGGAGAGCCTGGTTTTCAGGCTCTTTTCAAATTCTCTTTTCTCTTAGAGAATTTAAAACCTTACTAAGAGGAGTATTAGCTATAAGAGTTAGCTATACTCTAGTAGTCAGGGCTATACACTGGATAATTGAGACAGATGTCAATTAAAAAAAAAAAATTGCACCACACACGTTCTATATGAAACACTACTGGCTCCTAACAGTAGCAAGCTGATAATGAGACACCAAATTAAAATATATATGGAGTCTCAAAGGGGGAATGAGATAGGATATCTGGAAAAAGTGAGGTCTAAGAGAACAGAGGAATTCTCAAGGAGATCCCAAGGATATACCTGCAGGGTCCTCCCTGTGGTGACTCAGCTCTTAAGATTGTAGAAACTTAACTTCGTGGGACCTGTAAATTAATGTTTGCTTCCACGTCTCTAAAAGCCCAGAGTTCTATAAAAGCCAAGCCTGCTTTTCCAGGTTGATTCAAACTGACCAATGAGAAAGGTACCAGTGGAATGGAACATTTTGACTGGAGATAAAAGGAAGAAGACTGAGCCAGTCCAGGAACATGGCCATTATGAACTCTTCTGTGCCCTTGCCCTGATGGCTGACATAAAGCCCTTCCTCTTAAAAAAAACTTTTCAACTATGTGGCTCACGCCTGTGATCCTAGTACTTTGGGAGGCTGAGGCGGGTGGACTGCCTAACCTCACAGGTTCGAGACCAGCCTGAGCAAGAAAGAGATCCTGTCTTTAAAATAGCTGGGCCCTGTGGTCAGCACCTGAGGCTAAGGCAAGAGGATCACTTGAGCCCAAGAGTTTGAGGTTGCTGTGAGCTATGATGCCCCAGAACTCTACCTAGGGCAATAAAATAAAATTGTCTTAAAACAAAACAAAACAAAAAACCTCTTCTACTACAATCCCTAACTAGTTTTGACTCTGATTGTTCAAAACAATGAGGGCCATTACAGGAATGGGTGGATTCTGAAATAAACCAGAACCCAAATCACAGTTAGTTCTTCCATCAAAGCACTGTCTTAAATCAGGGGTGTCCAACGTGCAATGGGCTGCACACTGACTTTGTAAGGACTTTTTTTGCTTATGTATGGTGTCTGATATCACAAAGAAAAGTATACACGAACCTTTGTCCCTCTCTTTGAACTAACTAGCCACCAAACTTTTGACTCTTGCTCTGCAGAGTCCTAAATACCCCTCTCTTCCTTTTATCACTGCCATCTAAGTTTAGTTTATCTCATGCCTGGACCGCTGAAACAGCCTCCCTGTAATTTAACCAACTTCTCCAGTTTTCTAGTCAGCAAAATACACATATCTTGCAGGTTCATTTAACACACAGTAAAACAAAGCACAGTAACTAGAAAATAGTAGATGGTAGTTATTACCTGCACACCAACTTTTTATTATATCGCTTTCCTCTTTGAAGTTCCCCAGTGGCTCTAAATCACAACCAAACTCCAAATTCCTTAACCTAGCACCCAAGTCCTCCTAAATCTGTTTCCAATACAGTAAATATATCATTGCCCGGCACTATACTAATCTTCGCAACGGGTTTCTTCTTTGTTCCTTCAAGCTGATGAGGCCCTATACCTCCCCACTTATCTTGTGATTGTGCCTGCCTGGAATGCCTTCCCAGTCCAAATTTCACCTACCCTTTAAGGCCTTGTTCAGGTACTTCTTTCCTTTTGAAGCTTTTCTAGGCTACTCTAAGCTGTAATGATCTCTTCTTTGAACACATGCTTTTTCCCTACCTCTCACCTGTTCACTGATAAATGTCAATCAACAAAAATTTACTTAGCAATTCTCTGATTATAAGATATGGGTAAGAAACAAATATAAATAAGTAGGTTTCTACCCTAAAAAAGTTTATAAGCAATTATAGGAAAGATTTAGTCTACACAGAAAATGTCTTATGATATCAATATTACTTTGCATAGTTACTAATATTTTTAAAACTTATCTCTACAATTAGATATCTTAATTCTCAAAAAAAGGAGACTCAGCCAACATACTTACATATGCCACATGGTACCAGGTACACCTACCTTACAGAAGGCAATAAATACTGGAGATTCTTTTCTCTAATTGTCAGATCTCTATGTAAATAGTTGGTGAAAATGGAAATATTTTTAAGTTCCTAATTAAAAAAACCCACAGAACAGTCAAATCAACATTTTCTTACCTGTTCAAGTGCTCTAGGAAGGTCATTCACCCAGTGCAAACTACAATATGAAAACACATACTTATTTTGGCTTAATTAGTATACTATTACCACCAGTATAATGATGAGCTACAAAAAAGTATTAATTTTGCAGTATGAAATTGCATAGCAAAGTTCAGATTGTTTTCATACAAGTTTTTAAATTGTAAATATTCCTAAGGAGAAAACCTTCCTTTTGCCATACTGGAAAATCCCCATGTCAATATATTACTTTGCTTAAGCAATAATATCTGATATAATTATCTGTCTTTTGTTATCTGTTTTATTATCTTTTATTATCAATGATTATTCTGCATCACTGTAGAACATAAAAGTTATTCCTACTCGGTCATTTCATCTAGACAGTGCTATTCTGAGAAATTTTCGGAAATTAGTAAAAGTAAACACCTGATAATATCTTCAAAGAAACGCAACAATTAAATCAAGCAATGAAACTAGAGACATACAGTATTCCCAGAAAAAAATGAAATTCATCTACAGACCTAAAATTTTCCCAAGGTAAATAGTATTACTGACCAAAAACTTAATTCAGTGAGTTTTCTGAATAAATAACATGCCAATTTTTTCATTTAAAAAACTTTATTATTACCACTATTATTATTTTGAAGCAACATCAGATTTACAGCAAAATTGAGAGGAAGGTACAGAGATTTCCCATGAATCCCTACTCCCACACATGAAAAGGCTCTCCCATTATCAACATCCACTACCAGAGTGGTAGTTTTCTTACAACTGATGAATCTACCCTGACATACCATTATCACTCAAAGTCTACCTGGGTTCACTCTTGGTATTGTGTATTCTGTGGGTCTGGACAAATGTACTCCATGTATCCACCATTACAGTAGTATCATACAGAATAGCTTCACTGCTCTAAAAATCCTTGTGTTCCCTCCAACTCCTGGCAATCACTAATCTTTATTGTCTCTTGAGTTTTAGCTTTTCCAGAATGTCATAGAGTTAGTAATGTGTAAATTTTCATTTTATGGTAGAATCTGAGTACTTTTCTAAATTTATTCAGCACATCTAAAAAAGCAGGAAAAAAATTACAAACTCACTGAAAAAAGAATCAAGGGTGACCAGCTCTCCCAGGACATAGGACTTTTAGTGACAAATGTGGCAAAGTCTTAAGCAAGCTGTGATGATTGTTCACTCTCAAAGCAGTTGTCAAAAGGGTTGAATTGGGCTCAGCACCCATAGTACAGTGGTTACAGTCACATACACAGAGGCTGGCAGGTTCAAACCTGGCCTGGGGCCTGCTAAACAACAGTGACGACTGCAACAAAAAATAGCTGGGCATTGTGGCAGACAACTGTAGTCCCAGCTACTTGGGAGGCTGAGGCAAAAGAATCACTTAATCCCAAGAGGTTGCTGTGAGCTGTGACACCATAGCACTCTACCAAGGGCGACCATTTTTTTTTGTCTCAAAAAAAAAGGGGGTTGAATTGGACATGAAGAGCATCATATTCAATCTTTGAAAGAAAATCTATTTGACTATAAGTAGATAGGAGAATAAGATATCACAGAGAAACATCACAGAGAATATATTTTTCTCTGTGAGACTCTGAGTTCTTTGAGGGCAGGATCCCTGCCTGAATTCACTTTTGTATTCCTCCAGAATATCTAGCGGAGTGCCTTAGATATTATAATATATTCAATAAATATTTAATATTTATAAATAAATAAAACAATATATGTTTGTGTAATAAATATGAAAGGATATGGTAGAAAACACAAAGGGAAAAAGGTAACCTTGAGGAGTATATTCCTGTGCAGAACAAGAATTAAAGTTGGGACGGCACCTATGGCTCCGTGAGTAGAGCACCGGCCCCATATACCAGAGGTGGTGATTTCGAACCCAGCCCCAGCCAAAACTGCAACAAAAAAATAGCCGGGCATTGTGCCAGGCACCTATGGTCCCAGCTACTTGGGAGGCTGAGGCAGAAGAAATTGCCTAAGCCCAAGAGCTGGAGGTTGCTCTGAGCTATGACACCATAGCACTCTACCACGGGTAACAAAGTGAGACTCTGTCTCTAAAAAAAAGAATTAAAGTTAAAGAAGCTTTCCTGTATTTGCTAGAATGAGTTTAGGATAATGGTACTCTAACATTTGAATACTGGATCCTGTATACTTTTCCAAACTCCAGCCCCGATCAATAGCAGATCCAAAATTAGTAATTACTAAAGTTGAAGCAGATGGGAAAACCCTTCTAAAACAGACGAGTTTTAACAAGTTGTTGAAAGTTGGGCAGGAAAAAAAAAAGGTGAGGTACTACATCATATTATGTCCACCAGGGAGCCTAGAATAAGTCTTTAGCAGCAAAATCTTATAGTTTATAAACCAAGATGACTGGTGTGTGCTTTTAGAAAAAGTTACTAAGAATTATTCCATTATCTATTATCTTTACCTTGTAATAGTAAAATCTTATGATAAATTATCTATTTATAACAATTTTTTTTTCCAAGTACAAATGGATTACCAACCTTAAACTGCTAACCACCAGGTCAAATGTGTTTTCTCTGAAGGGAAGGAACTCTTCATCAGCTAAAACACTGACAGTAGGAATTTCCGTTTCTAAAGAATTTTTCTAATAGTAAAAAATAAAAGATCAAAACCACATTTATATAGAACTCAATTACTAACACAACCATTTTTTGAGAAATTTAAAGTTTCTGTTATATTTGCTTGGCAGTTTCTACAACTCCCCACCCCCCACAAAGGTGGCATAAAGAAGGCACTCAAAAAATGTTTCTTAAATAATTCTTATGATCAGCCAGAAAAAATGACTAGTTGTTTGGAAAAACATAAATAGGACACACATCTCATATCCAAACAAACTTTAGAAGGCTACAGGTTTCAGTGGAATAATTGAAGTACTAGATGAAAATCTAGTACTTCAATCTAGATCTAGTATTAGATCTTTACATTCTTGGACAAAAAAGCTTAAACAAACACGACTTGAAAGCCAGAAAATGTAAAGGAAAAAACACATTTGATGATGAACTAATTAAAAACTTCTGAAAAAACAATCTATTTATTTGGGGAAAGTATCTAAAACATACACAAAGGATTAATATTCCTAAAAAACAAGCTTATCCTTTTGTGTAAAAAACAAGTTCTTACAAATCACCTAGAATAACCCACAAAGGCTAAAGTAGATAAAGGAAAAGATACAGGCATATCACAAAATTATTTACAAAATTCACAAGTTAAGAAATACCAGTAGCCAAACCCCAACAGTCAAAAGACAACAACAGCTATTTGGCTATAAAGCAAATAAATTAAGTAAAAATAACAATGAAATTCTGCTTTCTTCCTATCAGATTAGCAAAGACAAAAAAATGGCCCAGTGTTGACAACGAGAAGAAGAAAAAAATACTTTCATATATTCTGGTTTAAACTAAGGGCAATATGGAGAAGTTTCTGTCTATTAAAAACAAACAGAGGTAGATGTATGGAACAGAATAGAGAACCAAGAGATAAACCCAGCTACTTACCATTATCTGATCTTTGACAAGCCAATCAAAAACATCGAGTGGGGAAAAGATTCCCTATCTAACAAATGGTGCTGGATGAACTGGCTGCGAAACTGGACCCACACCTCTCACCATTAAGTAAGATAGACTCTCACTGGATTAAAGATTTAAACTTAAGACATGAAACTATAAAAACACTAGAAGAAAGTATAGGGAAAACACTTGAAGAAATCGGCCTGGACGAAAATTTTATGAGGAGGACCCCCCAGGCAATTGAAGCAACATCAAAAATATACTACGGGGACTTAATCAAACTAAAAAGCTTCTGCACAGCCAAGTAAAGCAAGCAGACTTCAGAATGAGAGAACATATTTGCAGGTTATGTCTCTGACAAAGGTTTAATAACCAGAATTCACAGAGAACTCAAACATATTAGCAAGAAAAGAACAAGTGATCCCATCTCAGGGTGGGCAAGGGACTTGAAGAGAAACTTGTCTGAAGAAGACAGGTGCATGGACTACAGATATATGAAAAAATGCTCATCATCCTCAATCATCAGAGAAATGCAAATCAAAAACTACTTTGAGATATCATCTAATACCAGTAAGATTAGCCCATAACACAAAGTCCCAAAACCAGAGATGCTGGCGTGGATGTGGAGAAAAAACACTTCTACAGTGCTGGTAGGAATGCAAACTAATATGTTACCTTTGGAAAGATGTCTGGAGAACACTTAGAGAACTAAAAATAGACCTGCCATTTGATCCTTCAATTCCTCTACTAGGAATATATCCAGAAGACCAAAAATCACATTATAACAAAGATATTTGTACCAGAATGTTTATTGCAGCCCAATTCATAATTGCTAAGTCATGGAAGAAGCCCAAGTGCCAAAAGA